CTTTTCTAGAAGACAACGAATTAAATGTCGGCATTTACTAAAACAGTATGGACAAAGATTAAAGATGGATTTGAATCACCAAAGAGACAAACAACTTCAGGTGCACCTGCTCCACCATATGCACCTAGAACATATGCATTTAACGGAGACGTGTTCGTGGAAATTGATCAACCAGGTTCAACTGTTCATGTAACATCTCCAGCACATGAACCACATCGACCAATATTTACTGTTGCTGTTGGAGTATTCGATGTTCTCATGCTTATTATTATGTTCATTGCTCAACGAGGAACAAATTTATCATCGAATACATGGATAAAAATGGGTGCCAAATATGTACCTTGTATGAAACCTCTTTCTTCAAAAGCAGAACGTTTAGCAAACAATGCTGGACTCAAATCTCAATGTTATGCTTTTCTTTTTCCTTATCAAATTTATCGATTTTTTACACCCATGTTTCTTCATGCTGGTGTACGCCATCTTCTGAATAATCTTGTCTATCAAGCTTTAGCTGGCTCTATATTAGAAAGAAAATATGGTACAAAAATATTTTCAATATGTTATATACTATTTGGTTTTAGTGGAAATATTATGAGTGCATTAGTCAAAACAAAGACTGGTATGTAATGACTAGCATTGTTCGTTATTATAAATTTATTTATTTAAAAGAAAAGACAGTGATGATAACAGTAAAGATTCTATTGAATTTTGCATATCAAAAATATGATTTACTAAAAATTTTCGTTTGTTTAATGAGTTGAAATATAAATTTACTTCAGGGTACTAGTATACAAGTTTGTCGTCCTATCACTTAATTTTTGCATTTAATATATATGTTGCAGAATATAACGGAATATATACCTTATTACTTGATTAACTTTAATAAATTTGAATGCATGTAATATTTCATATTTTAAACAATATGTTACTATTTTTCTAGTATCTGCGGGTGCATCGGGTGCTGTCTATGGTCTACTATTCTTTTGTATCATCGACAATACTTTGCGTATCTTTACTATCGAAAATATGAAAGACAAAATTATTCAATTTTGCATCATGCTTCTTGTTATACCTTATTTTATAATGAGTGTATTTGTTGATGTCGACTTTTCTGGTAATATTGATCATGCAGGACACGGTGGTGGCGCACTTATGGGAATTTTAGTATCTATATTTTTATGCGACATGCCGAATTTCATTACACGTCGAGTTCCTAATGGAGGAAGACGAATTCAATTAATTGCATTGATTGCGATCATTGGTTACTTTGTCATCTCATTATTTGTCTTTTATCTACTTAAACCGATTAGTCTTAAATAATAATAATCAAACATATGATATATTAAAACAGAAACAGATTAGCCGAAAAGTTGCTTTACTAAGAATAAAAGCTTTGAATGTTTTCGCAATACTTTAATTCAAGGTGTTTATTGTTTTATCATTGATTAAGCAATATTCATAGTTCATATTGATCAGAAAAATGTCAGAAGAAAATACTTCTATAAACTATTATTATTGACCTTGATAAACAGTGATAAGCATGAATAAGCTATGAAAAACAATATGGTAGGTGCTCAACATTGTCCTGTTGTTGACGGCTGAATGTTTTTAGATATATAGAATAACAAGACATGAACGAGCAGTAGAGGTTTGAGACCGCATAAGTAAAATGGAAGAGCATAATCAAACAAAAAATAGCTATGCTTTTTATTTTTAGTCAGAGGAACAAATAAATTTTTTTATAACTAGTGAAAAATCACATTTCAAAGAAGAATTTCGGATGTTTGTCTTATGAATATGAACTGTGAATACTACTTTATCAGCAATAAGAAAAACAGGTCATTTGTTTGAATTAAAATCATGATAGTCGACGTTTTGCTCAGTGATGCGATTTTTCGGGCTATCCTGTATTGTTCAGATAAGGTTTTTTCTTTTATTAAGTATTGTTGTGCATTTTTATTATTAAAAGAATATGATTCTAAAAAACTATTCTGATATGTATTTTATTTTAACTTCTATTGCTTATGAATAAATATATATATTTATAAACATATAACAAAATACGACGGATTATTATTTAAAAAGGCCATGACACACCAACACTTTGAACTGATTGAAATATCAGAAAGTGAACACATCATAATTGAGCATTAGGCTTTTATAATTCTTCATGAATCATTATTGTATTAGTTTTACATAATGAACGCATATGTCAAACTACGCGTAAAAAAGGGATTTTATTAGTAATAAAGAAAATTCAATAAGATGACGATTTTAACAGAGATTTTAAATAATTTCTCATCTCATAAGAATCAAAGTTTTAACGATTTTTGTTATTTAGAATATAATCAACACTTTTATGAATATGTTGTTACCAGTGATAGACTTATCAAATATTGATTCGTAGATCTTGCTCTTAGTCCATGCAATCCATCCTAGTGTATATTGCAGTTTTAAGTTGTTATATTCTTCGATTAAACTAAAAAGTTTATTTCTTGTAACTCTAGATGAAATATGACTCAATTCAAATAGCATTTCAAAATTGATTTTTATATTTCGTTACTGCAAGTAACAAAAATAGAACGAAAAATAATGTTCGATTCATTTGACAAGACCGATGTATTGGTTTTCATATATAACACAAAACCATTTTTTTTTTGCATATTCGCGTATACAAGCATTCAAGCATACATACAATATAGATAAAAGTTATGCTCATTAAGTTCATGAACGAACAAATAGTCATCAGCACTATTTTCTTGTTTCGTAATAGAACAAAAAATTCATATGATTGATGGTTGGTCGATTAATGAATTCATTGAGAAAAATTCGTTGATTTTTTAACTTTATTTTTCCAAATTGTCAATCATAATAGCTAATCAATATTAATAATGATCATAAAGATATAAAAAAAAAACAACGTTACTTGACAGCATAATTATCATTCTCGAATACAACAGTAAGATAGAGAAAGTATCTAATTTTACTCATTTTTATCTGAAATGTTGATATTGCGCTTGAGATCAATTTCCATGGAAAACATTATAGGTTAGTGAGTCATGTTCACAAATTAGAATATCATGAATGAAAATATAGTTACCATTCTTTTAAGAATTTCTTTTTTTCGTTGTTTCTCTGTATACTCTCAAAGAAACGAAATCAAATCAAAAATGGTAAATAAAAGTACTGCATGTCTGTCGTTAATGCATTCTTCTATTATTTAATTGAGTTTCTACTTAGTTTTTTCTCTTCTGAATAAAAATACATCGATGATTTTATAATAAATTTAATTTTTCTCAACGCAATATTAAACGTATCTTTGTTGTTATTTATCGGTTGTGTTCTATTTAGAACATCTATAGCACATAACACTGAAACTCATTCTAAATGAATGACATGATGAATAAATTGAATCCATTGAAAATGAAATTATATTTCATCGATTTTTTACCAATCTGTTCCGTTATTTATCATTAGATAGATAACGAATGACTTCTATTTCATTGATACTATTTATTTTTCAACAAAATATTCAAATTATATTTGTTGAACATTTTTTTATAAATTAAAAACAATTATTTTCATAAAGTAAACAAATGATTCAGTTTTTATTATGTGTCACTTTTACTTAAATCTAGGGGAAATATAATCGAAATAAAATTCATTAAATTTTCCATAATCAAATTTTTATAATCGAGGATTTAATTGTAATATGTTCTCAAAATAATATCTCGGATAGCATATAAAAAATGAACTTATTTTGAAGCTGGATATAAACTACAAAAAACATAATAAAGTAACCGAAGGAGAATATTATAGATGCTATTCCTCGTTTCAAAACAAATTAAATTAATGATGATTGATTCTTCAAGTTTTTTCTTGAGAATAGTTTGAGAAAGTTGATGCAAAAAAAACTAGTTTTTTGTATCACATGTTAGCATTGATTGGTTTTTTATTTAAAATCAGATTTTGTAGCAAACATAACAGCAATATAAATATTTTTCCGTTAACCTTTGATGATACTTAATTCTGGACTGTGTAGAAAGAAGAAAACGATTGAAATAAGTATTCA